GCTTTCACAAAAAAAAAAATAAAAAATAGAATATCTTTGAGGTGGTGGCGGACGATATAATTAGAGATGGGGGTATTTGTATTCACATACAAATATGAATAACCCTGCACAGCTAGACTTAATAAGGGTCCAGCCCCCAGGGCCAGACTGCCCACTCACACATCCTGCTGCAGTCATCTTTCCAATCATGCCCAGAATGCCACTCTCTTCCCGCCTGGCTGGCCACTCCAGGCAGGTGGAGGAAGGATGAGTCCTGCTGCACGGGGATATTTGTATTCATATACGAAGATGAATACCCCCATCTCTAGGGTTAGAAATAATCCTTCATGCCTCTTAGTAACAAGAGTCTGTAACTGTTAGGCAAAAAGAGCACAGCCTCAGCAGACATGTTGACTTCTACTTAAATTTCTAGCAAATTAGGTAAGCACGTTTGGAGCATGGTATATCTGTTATAAGCTGGCTGGATAGCTCAGTGAGTTGGGCATCTGGGAATTCAGTTCCTCGTTGTGCATTCCAAAAGAGCCAGCCTGTGTGACCTTGGGCAAGCTGCAGAGGACGCCACCAGAAGAAGAGAATGGTAAACCACTTCTGAGTGCTCAATACCTGAAAAGCTCTGAAAACAATTGACTTGACCATGCATGCATGATGATGATGATGATGATGATGATGATGATGATGATGATGATGATATTTATTGTACTTTTCTTATTATATTCTTTTTTTCTTTCTTTCTTTCTTTCTTTTGAAAGAAAGGTGGGCAACAAGAATTGAATTAAAATGAGGAAATGATGTAAAAAATTAAGGTGAGCAGACCGGAAAATGAAATCGGAGAATTGAGAACCCAAAATCTGGGAATAATTTTAGATGTGGAGTAATAAAGCACCCATGAATGCAGCTATTTAACTGTTGGGTATGTTACTAAAACCCCTTTTTTTAAATGGCAAGGCAGTTTGTTCCTTGATAAGATATTATGAGACAGAAAATCCTTTCCCTCCTCTTAAGATAGATAGACAGGTAGGCCCCAGATGAAACACAAGCCTCCCTCCTTATCTTAAACGGAGCAAAAAGGCTTGGGAAAGAAAGTCCCCAGAAGCCCATCTTTCCAAGTAGGTTTTCATTGCTGCTATATATGGCAACCTAGCTGGGGATTCAGTATTTAAGGGGTGACATCAGAACACTGTACTAGTCATAGACAGGAGGCATCTTTCCCTCAGGCCTAATATGGACATTGGGCTTACTGAACTGAAAGGGGGGGCAGAAAAACGCAGCCAGACACACACTCGGGGTGGGGTGGGTAGAATCTTTTGGATCAAAGACGCAGAGCTTTGTCTGGCCTACCAGCTTTACTAACTAATCTCCTCCTCCAGGACATTAGTGGGAGCTACATACTAAATTTAAATGAATGGCACACATACATGGATTTAATTTAGAGCATTGGCCCGCAAGCATTTCTTGGGATGAGCTGGCAGGAGACAGCAAAGAAATATGCAAGTCAAATTGTAAACAATGTTTTTTCCTTCTTTAGTCAACTATTCCTGATGAAGAAGGGCTTTTTTCTTTAAGGAGTATTGCAAAATTGTACCCTGGCAATGCCATTTTTCCCAGGGCTAGGCATGAACGCGGAACAAGGAGGAAAACATTGAATCTTTGAAAAACAGTGGGGAGGAGCATTGATTAGATCTCTGTCCTACCATACCCATGATCAGAGGGCCTGTAAACCAATGTGTTCTAGCACTGCCACTTGCATCTTACAAAAAAAGAAGCAAGTGTTATGACATACATAATTTGTGCAAGGTAAGAATCTGTCTGAGCCAAGATCTAAACCAACATTTCTTTAGTCAAAAATAGTTGCTGTACTGCACAGAACAAGCTCTGCGGTGGGGCTTTAATGATCCATTTCCTCCTATTATGCCTTTTGCTATCCCTGGATCTTTTTTCCTTAATTACAGTGGTGCCCCACATAGCGACGTTAATCCGTTCCGGATTAATCGTCGCTATGCAAAAACATCGCTAAACGGATCAAAAAACCCCATAGGAATGCATTAAACTTCGTTTAATGCGTTCCTATGGGGCCCAAAACTCACGGTTCAGCGAAGTTCCTCCATAGCACCGCCATTTTCGTGCCCTCGGTAAGCAGGGCGCGAAAATGGTTATGGTGGCCATTTTGGAACCACCGATCAGCTGTTTAAAAAACCATCGCAATGCGAAGATCGGTAAGCAAAACGTTTACCGATCATCGCAATGCGATGTTTTGCCATTGAAAACATCGCAATGCGATTGCATTAGCGATCTGAAAAAACAGATTGCTATGTGGATTCGTCGTTCAACTCTGCGCTCATTAAGCGAGGCACCACTGTACTTATTTCTTCTAGCTCCCTCTTTTCAGCTCCCACATAAAAGAAGTGTCTGGTACTGACTTTGTTAGAATAACACCAAATCACCAAATTAATGGTTGGCGCCGTCACTGACAATCTCCTAACATTTATACTCCATTTTTCCCCAAATAGACTTTTATTTAAAAAAGTTTACCATTTTGTTCTGTACAGAAGGAGTATCTTTTTTCTTCATCAAAGTTTGAAGTTGTGCTGCACCAGAGAGTCCCGTCTGTGCGGCCTTCAGACGTGCAGGAGTAGAAAGTCCTCCCATTGTAGGTGAAGGGGAAGACACATGGCTCTCCATTGGAATTGCCCCCATAGGTTTGGGTCACAACTTTAAAACAAAACAGGCCTTACATTAGGATTGTGTAATCTAATTGTGCATACAAGATCATTTTCCTGATCATGGAGCTCTTCCCGTACTTGGAGCTACAGCAATTTTCTCAGTCTGAATACACAGCTGATGTTTAAACAGCACAGGAGGTTACACACATAGCCAGAATACTGGTTATGATACTGCATGAATCCTGGAGGAAGAAGTCTTTTTGCAAGATCAGCCCTACCACACCACTTTTGCTCCTGATTCACTGCACTGAGCTCAAGATCACCACCTTTAGGAAGGAAAAGGGCAGCACTGTCTTATTTGCCACACTGGGTGCTGTGTTCACAGAAAAAGTGAGGAACTGCCTTTTAGTTGCATGGCAATATTTTTAATCTTAAAGGTTCTCTGAGGATTATTTACAGTGACTCTTCAAACATGCCTCATACCTGTTTCCTTGCACCCGACGCCATTGCCCAGGCAAGTACAAAGCATATGCTGGCTGCCCTGGGTCTTAAGCCATTGCATTCCCAGAGAGTACACCATGCCATTGTCTGTTACACAGTGTCCATATGGAGGAGGCTGAGGCTGAGGCTGATAGAGTGCCGTTCGTACATCTGTTACAGAAGCAGTTCCTGAAGCAGAAAACATGGACAGAGTCAAGCACTACAGTGGTCAACAAGAAACACTAGGCCAGTCACTTAGTTACATAAATCTTAGGCAGTCAACCATCTCCTTTATTATTTAGTCAATATACTACAATTATTTAGTCAATATACCATATTTGCATTAAATCTAATGTGAAAATAAAACTTGGCTGTGTTCTAAAGGCAACGTATAGGTAAAGGTAAAGCTTCCCCTTGACAATTTTTGTCCAGTCATGTTCGACTCTAGGGAGCGGTGCTCATCCCCGTTTCCAAGCTATAGAGCCGGAGTTTGTCGGAAGACAATCTTCCGTGGACAAATGGCCAGTGACCACAGACACGGAATGCTGTTACCTTCCCACCGAGGTGGTCCCTATTGATCTACTTGCATTTGCATGCTTTCAAACCGCTAGGTTGGCGGGAGCTGGGACAAGCGACGGGTGCTCACTCCATCACTTGGATTCGATCTTACAGCTGAAGATCTATAGACCTTACAGCACGGAGGCTTCTGCGGTTTAACCCGCAGCGCCACCACGTCCCTTCTGCAGCTTTGGCAAAGTATACAGTATGCTATTCAGCACACTGAAAACTATCTTTCAGAAAAAAATGTATCAGTAACGTCTTCCATTCCTGTATCCAGAAAGAATGTCCAGTTGGAAAGGGCCAAATATTGACCCACCACTGATTCATTTATGAGGCCTATTCAAGGTGAGGATATGTGTGACAAAAAGAGCATCATCCCGTATCCATATGCCCAGCAGCAATTATCAACTTTCTGAACTTTAATTCCCAGAATTCCTTACCATTAGGCATACTCATTGGGGCTTCTGGGAGTTGAAGTCCAAAAAAAAAAAACCCTTGAAGAACCAAAGATTGAAAACTCCTGGCCTTTAGCAGTATGTCCTGTGGATTCTACAGAAATGTCTCCTCCTCAGGTCCCTGCCACTGAATACCTAGCAGCTGTTTATTAATAAGGATCACATGCAGTTACTAAAGTGTTTTCCCCCTCTCCTTCCCCACATAACCCCGCATTTAGGTACACACACTCAACAAAGTATGTCTCAACGCATGCTTGTCAGTCTGACAAGATCACAGTACAGCTTGGTAGCTGAAAGCAATAATCATGTCTGGCCTTTCAACCCCATATTATGCTACCATAACTCTAGTAGCAGAGCTATATGACAAGCCAAGGAAGAAAGGAGGCAGTGAGAGCAAATCAACTGACTGAGCCTCCAGACTTCATTATCACATTCAGATGTATGGCTTACCTATGCCCACAGTTTGCATAGATGAATGCCTTTCACATTTCCATTCCCCTCTGCCATTGCCAGTACAGATGCACTGAAGAAGATTCCCTCGGTTGTCTTTCTTACTCCAGGTGTCTCCAATTCTGTAGGATGTCTTGGTGTCCTGATCATTGCATCTATCTGTAGAAGAAAGAGGAAAATAAAACACTGATTAAAGCCCTTGCAATTTTAATAGCATGTTTGCTTCAGGTACTTCTGTCCCTTTGGGCTTGTAGAAGGATATGACCTTTCATGAAGCTATTGATCTCTTATACAACATGGTCCAAATAAATGTGAGCAGTCTAGCTTGCAAAAAAAGGAAAAAAATAAATTGATTTCTCATCATTTAAGGTAATAGTTTAAAACTGTTACAGGCTTGCTTTCAACATAAGTGTGAGGAATCCATTCCTGTTCTGATATTACCTCTATAGGAGGATAGGAAAGAGATGAGTCAGTTGTCCAATGACAGAGGAAGGATTTTGATCCCATGTTTCCCAATGAAAGCCTTGCCTATGAACTGAAACAATGCCCTGTTGCAACAACACAGACAATACCGTGGATGTACAGTATATATGGCAGCCAACATGGTGTAGCAGATACAGTATCAGATGCATTCTCAGGAGATCTGAATTTAAATTCCTGTTCAGCCAAAGAAATTTACTGGGCAACAGCAATGGTAAATGGCTCCCTTGAACATCTTACATACCTCTAAAACCCTTTTACAGTTGTCAGGTGAATTGCCGGCACATAATGACATATGGCAGCACTACCCAGACTGCAGAAACTAGACTACTAAAGGCATTTCTGCTGGTTTGTACGGTAGAAGAAACGGAAGAACTGTTTAGGCCTGAAGGCAGAATACACACATCACCTTTCTGAAGCTACTATCTTCTGCCCAATAACCTAGAGCATATACCGGCCAAAATCCTGTTGGGCAGGGTTGGCCTGTGCAACAGGAATGACATCATCATCAGCAACAGTTTGCTGCTGATTAAAAGCTTCCTTTTGTAATTGCACAGGGCTTTGTAGCATTGTGTACAAACCATGCACACTCCCCAAAATTGCTAAAAGAAATCTTTCATCAGTGGCAATCTATTGCTGCTATCATTCCCATTGTTCAGGTTGGGCTATGCAACAGGATCTCAGCCTCTACATTCCAAAAATCCATGGAACTTTTTCAGAACAAACAGAATCAGGCTTTCGTTTGTTCGTCTCTTACAAGAGAAATGATGTTGTTAATTCATTATTAGGGATGGGCACAACAACTGAGTGGTAACTTTCATTTGACTTGGAGTATTTATT